CCACTCCCACCGTGACCTCTCTCCATCCACAGCACCGGCCACCCCCAAGACTGACCTCCCCCCACGGCGCCCGCTTGCCCACTCGCTGCCTGCAGTGCGGGCTGGCCCCACCCCTCCTGCCCCCAGCACAGGGCAGGTCCGTACACTCATCGTCCGTGTGCAACTTCTGCTTGAGTTTCTCCATCTTCTTCTCATCCCGCAGCAAGGTCTTGTCCTTCTTGAGAGTGCCGGTGATCTCCTCCTTCTTCTCCTCCATCATCTCCCGCACCAGCGAGTACTCGTCGTGATTGGTGATGCCTGCAGGGGCAGACAGCGCAGTGCCCGTCACAGCCTGCCTGGCAGCCACAGGCTGGGGAGCCCCCCGAGAACACGGAGCTCCCCCTGCCCAGCTCAGCATCCCTGCAATACGCCCTATGGGGCACAGACACCGCCTGCCGGGGTAGTGCCCCTGAATGACAGCACCCCCTACCTGCATGCAGGCACTGCCCCCCACTCTCCCCGACCCCCCACAGCCCGGCAATGCCCCCTCCCCATCCTCTTGCCCCCGCACCCCCCCAGGCCGGGCAACGCCCCTTCTCCACCCTCACCCCATGCCAGGCAATGCCCCCTCCCCATCCTCTCGCCCCCCAACAGCTAGGCAACATCCCCTCATTCCCCCCCACCTCCTCAAGCAAGACATCGCCACCTCCCATCCTGCCCCCGGCTCTGGCCTGGGCGGTGCTCCGTCCCTTACCAATCCGAGCACAGATTGTCATGAGTATGTCCGTGACCGTTTTGGAGTCGTCCACCATGACTGTTTTAACCGTCCCATCCAGCATGCGAATCTTGAGCGGACGTTGCTTCTTCTTGTACTCCATGGTGTCCTGCAGCACAGGCGCTCGGTGTTAGCGCCAGCGTCCGGGCATGCCCGCAGGGGCATGTGGTCACCACGCCCTCCCCTCTGTACTAGGGAATCCCGCCCACCCCTGAGGAACAGCCATGCCAGGGAGACGGGAGGGAGTACCCAGGGCTATGGAGCAGGCTGCACCAGGCACTGCCGAGCATAGAATCATAGACGATCAGGGTTGGAAGGGACCTCAGGAGGTATCTAGTCCAACCTCCTGCTCAAAGCAGGGCCAATTCCCAACTAAATCATCCCAGCCAGGGCTTTGTCAAGCCGGGCCTTAAAAACCTCTAAGGAAGCACGAGTAACCCTGCCCTGGGGCTGGGGGCAGTAGAGGCACGTACTGCACTGCAGGGCACGTCATAGTGCAGAGCTTGGGGAGGGACGCGCGGGGACTGGGCACTTACCCCATTGCGGAGCATGTAGTAGTCCAGAGCCTTCCCAGCTTCCAGCCAAATCCCCTTCTTCGGGTCCTCATCCGAAAGGAACAGCCCAAAATCACTGGCTGAAAAACAGAGCAGACTCTCCCAGCACAGGCCCATGATCCTGGGTCCCCATTCTCCCAGCATGGGCCCCTCAGCTCCCTGGCCCAGCCAGCCCATGCCCCTGGCCCCAAGAGCAGAGTTTCCCCCATGCACATCTCTCCTAACATTACAGAGGTGCAGGGATGGATGGAGAGGCTGTTCTGGGGGGCAGAGGAGAGACCGGGGGAGGTGAAGGAGCTTTTGGCAGAATGGGGAGGCTGAGGGGGACAGGGTGAGGAGACGCAGGAGGGTGGAGTTGTGTAGAGCTTTGGAGCCTCCCACCTGAATGTCTAACATGCAGCTACACGGCTCAGAGAGATGGAGAATAAGGTGCGTGCTGAGGTGTCCAGGCAATGGAGGGAGGAGAGAAGGCAGCCAGACCCACAACCATTACGAACAGAGGTAAAAACTTGCACTGAATTTTGAAGGTGCGCAGACATGGAGAGAACTCCCTCCACTGCACGGCCCGTTGGGGGAGAGAGAGTAGGACCACCCTCCGACTAGCATGCAAGTCCCACACATGGCATCTCCCTCTCGCCGAGTTCTGTGTCAAGGACGGATGGACTCTGCATTAGCGAATTGCCTTGCTTCCCCACTCTAGCGTTGGCTGCTGGTAGCCGATTATACAGAGTCATCTCCTCAATTGCTCTCCAACAGTATCAGGAGTTCCTGAGGCATCAGCATTTTGCTCATCTAGTCTAGTGGCTGTTGCATCGTTCCTCTGACAGGATCCCAAATGGCATGAAAGTCACCAGGATCTGTCTTGTCTTCATCTATTTTCTCAAAGAAAACTCCACCGAAGAAAGCGTAGCACTGCAGAGCACCAGGAACTCAGCCTGGAAAAGCCCTGCCTATGGGTAGCGAGGAGCTGCCTGAGAGCAAGACAGCGAGAGGGAAGCTGGGCACTTTGACCCCAAGCTGACTGAATTAAACACAGCGAGGAACAGACCATCTCAGAACACTGCTGCACAAAGAGCTCAGATTGCAGGGGAACAAATGCCGGGAAGTTCAGAAATCTAGTGAGTACCCTGCACTGGGAAGCAGTAATAAAACCCACCAGCGGGGAAGGTGGCGGGGAACCCGAAATGACAGCATAATTAAGGCACAATAGCCTGTGATTTCTCTTCCCGTACCAGAAACAGGAACTACCTAGGAATACACAGCCAGGAAAGACTGGCCAGGAAAGAGATGGCATCAGGAAAGCGGTAACAAATCCAGATAGTGGCAAAAGCTTATTCTCAAAATTAACTGGACAGGAATCATGTGGCCTGTGCATCAACTAAAGGGAAATGACAAAGGGTGAGCAATTGAATGAGTTACAAAGCAAGGAATGTTAGAGGCGGGGGGGGGGGGGGGGGGCTCTTCAAATCTGTCAGACAAAAAAGAACAATC